CTACGCAGAGCAAGACCTCGCTTCCACATAGATCTCTCATTTGGGACTTCACTGTAGCTGCCTGGCCTCATCTGTGGCTCTAACAAGTGCCTGTGGGTTCTGTGTTGCAACGTTTCCTTTTGTTTGCTTATGTGACACTCATTTATTTGTGCTACCCCAAGAATCCACGACTGTCAACTTCTGTCGGTTGTTTTTGTTTGTTGCTTAAATAATGCAAAATGGCAGCATGAAATGACGAAGCGACGAAAGTGACTTAAAGTTTTAATGAAAATGCCGAACTTACCACATTCTGGCAAGCACCGCATGCGGAGTGTCCCCCGAGTGTCATTCATCAAATATTAAGAGGCGCTAAAGCATTGCTTTAGAGTGCGCATTAATTTTTCAGAATCCCGCTCTCCGTTGAATTTAATGTAACTTCTGCATTACACAAAGTTTCTTAAGAGTTGCAAAAATTTGATAATATTTAGCGCAGCGATTGAATTAAAAGTATGCATGTTGCGCATACGTCCCATAGGATATTGGTATAAATGGTTATAAGTCCGGAGACTTGACTGGTTAAAGTTCCCATGTTATACATATAAGTATGAAGCTAGATATCCAAGACAAAGTTTAAAGATTTCTGCCTTGTTCTCTTAAATATTCTGTTAAACGTTTGGATTTAGAGGCTAACAAGTTAATAAATAACTAGTTACCCCACTAAGCTTAACTATATTAGTTTAAGTCAAACGAAAGCCCTTTTTTGAAAAACCCTTGAGCTGTTCTCGTTTTATACTCAATATACTTCCATAAATATTTACACACCTTGGGCGTTTTTTTTTCTAGAATCCCACGCTCTATTTAATCAGTTGGGTTTCATGCGCTAAGCCGTCTGTACGGGCTTTTAATGTGACTAATCCGTGATATTGTCACCTTCATTCTACAAATGTTCGCACATTTATTACGGTGGTATATGGTTAACTCCCACGAGTACCTGATCTGAAATAAATCATCAGCCCATGAATTCATAAATGCTGCGGGTCACGACTGCAGTTTGCATTTTGTCAACGTCAATTTAACCCAATCTCAATGCATGGGCACGGCGCACGAATTCAATAAATCAAACACGTGCCAAACTGTGACACGCCTCCAGCCCCAGCTTACATTTAGAGGCGTGTCGTCTGTCAATGTTACCAAATGCGGTCAATTAGTGAAACAAAGGGCTTTAGCCCGAACTAATTAAAACGAGCTGAGCAAACATTTTGCCAGACGAACAAATATCAAAGGGGAATATAGCACGTGCGACTAGGATTTGTGAGGCGTCGTCACATTCCTACGCTTATTTAGCTTCCTGATTAATGGCCAATGGCACGGGCAACTCCTCGAATACTAAAGCGTCCCCAGGGAGAGGGGAGGATAAATTTCTCGGCAACAAATATAGTGCATACGCTGATAGTGAAGTCTGATTAAAAAGATAAATAAGCAACATGATAACTTATGCCAAATTGGGTTTTAGTAAATCTAAAAGTGAGGACTTTGAAATTTCAGACCTATTTAATTCCCGCTTCTTTCTCACTTGAGTTAAGCCCCTCGACTATTTGCTCAGCATTACCTCATGTCTTATGATCTCATGTTGGCGATGGCAATTTCCGTTCCTTTGTGCATTGGCCGTGACCAAAGCTACAATCCCAATTAAGCCGAAACATACCTTAGAAATAGACTTGCAAATGGATATCGGATGTGGTATATTTGTGATCATTCCTTTTAATACCTCTCTATAGCTCATTTGGGGCGTCTTTTTTTTGCCTCTAGCACCTGTCAGCCTTTTATTATTCATGTACTTATCGTAGACGCCCAGGTACACAGCTTAATTACACACATTTTGTGAAATATATACGCGTGTGCACAAAGTAAACGGCAATTAATTTTGCCATTTGGTGGGTTAGAAAACAATTTCAGCGATTCGGTCGCCTGACATGCAGAGCAATCGATTGTGGATTTTAATTAAAGGAATTTATTTGGATGCACTTGTTTAAAGTGCAATCGACTGTTCATGACATCATCTGCATATATATGTACGACAATGAGCAACGAAGTAGCTCATCCATAATAATAATTTTACTAGCTACTCAACAGTAGAAACAGAAGCATTAAAGCTCTACATAATATTTTTTTAACCTTTTTTTATTTTATTTTATTATTATTATATTATTATATGCAAGGAAATTTTAAAGCCAACCCCTTAATTGGATTAAAATAGTTACGAATTTTCTTACTATTAGTTGTTTAAACATTATTCACTTCATAATTATTCAAGACAACTTTGACAACGTCATTAAATTTTCCAATGATGAATTATCATCGGTGGCTTTTAAAGTTATTTCCCACAATTAAAATAAAATCTATCTATTTAAAGATTAAATGCCGCTCAAATGCGTTTTATTAGGGGGTGTGTTTCTGTTCTTGCTAATTAGCTTTGAATAGCACCTCCTACCCTATCTCATATAGCACGTTTCTGTGGTTTGCTGACAAATTAATGTGAAAGGTAATAGATAGTTCGCACATGCTTCATGTTTGCTTTCCAACAATTTAAAGTATGCAATAAAAAGTAAAGTATCCGTAGCATAAACCTTATCTATTCATTAATGTATGCATTCATTAGAAGGCATGCCCCTTTATGTTAATCGGTTCTGTTTGTACTGAATGTCTCATAGGTCAATGATGAATAATTCGTAAAAACCCAATTCCATCACATTCCTTATGCAAACGTTAAACACAAAATACCAAAAAAATGCGTCAGTCTAAGGAATAATTTTCTTTGAAATACTTTAACAACAAGAAACGACTGGTAAACATCACAAACTTTTTTTAAATAATCAACAAAAAATGAAAAGCGCTAAATTAAAAGTAAACAAAGAAGACAAACGTAAACAGCACTATACAAATACAATTTCAGATTAATATAGAAAAGATTGAACTTGAAATAGGCGCACAGCAAATTATTGGCTCACACATATATACATATATTGTAAATATTTCATAATTCAGCATAACATAATTAATATTAAAGTTTGGGCCAATTGTAACTGGAATGTATACCAAATAATTAAAATGCACACGATTCCTACTCTTGAATTTACGGATTTTTGATTAGATTAACATACACTTCCAAAACATTTCAAAAATTCCCTCCCGACAAAATGTATCTTCGACCCGACTAAATGTATATTTAAGATATATATATATGTATATTCGACTCACAGTACTGCATGCAGTCGAACACAAAATGTGACTGAAAACTGAGCGAAGACCAAATGGATGAAGAACTGGAGACACGTTTCGTTTGAAGTTATTGTTGTGCGAGTCACTCCTAGTATGAGCATATTTCGTTATGTTTGTGGCTACACACACACACACACACACACACACACGTGCGTATGTGTGCATTTATGAGTGTGCCCTCCAACAAGACAACAAAAAAACTGTTCACACAATGCTCATTTTTTGTTTTCTTCTCTTTTTGTGTTTGTGTGTTTGTGTTTTGCCAAATTAGCAACAACCGGTTTACACTGGTTGTCGTCGAGGGGAGGCTAGGGCATCGGGGAGTGGTACCAACGCAAGCTAAAGGTAAACAAAAGCCGCTTTTGCTCATTAGTCGCAGTCGCTCGAACTCGCGACCAACTCGCGAATAGAGTGCCACAGTCAAACATTTGACGTACCTCATATCAGCTCCATTTATGGGGGGAGTGCCAAGCTACTTGGGTGCAGGCAGGTTGCCAATTATTTGAGCGTCAACAAGGTCGTGAGAGCAGCAAGACAGAGAGAGGGAGAGCGAGAGCGAGCGAAAAAGAATGAAAAGAGAGAGGGAGAGTGGGCAAAAGTGTGCAAGAGAAGCCAACAAGTGGAGAGTTATAACATGCAATGGAGCCCATGTACTCTGCACGTTCAAACATGTCTAGGTACATACACATATATTCAAATTCAGATGATGCATATTTTCACGTGCGATCGGATTAAATTTGAGCGACGTGAAGCTGTAGGTTGACTGTTATCTGCTGTTAAATTCTAAATCTGTCTGTCTGGTCCCTGGCTCTGGGACTGGTCCAGATTCGCGAAACAAGTTTAGCAAGCGACACCAGTTTCCATGGGTTTTATCGATAATAACATTTATAGTATGTGCATTTTTGATTTGTTGAGTCGAAAATTGCGCTTTATACTCCAGTTGCGAGGCCAGCTTAAATAGACAAAAATTTGGCGGGCAACCTCAAGTTTCACACTTGTATAAAATTATTATTAAAACTAAAATTATAATAATAGGATAACTCAGCGTCTGTGGAAGATGCTTGAGAGTTTCAGGTTACGTCAGCTATTTCGAAAAGTGACGATTCATATATTTTTTGACGTCAGTACTTAGAGTCGAGGATTTCTATATGAATAGACAAATAATATAAAATAAATAAATATCCCTTTAAAAAACCTGTATTAAGCAACTATGGAATGTTGATTTTATGACAAATTAAAAACTTTTTTTGCATTTTATTTCATCCAATTTGACTATTAAAATAAACATATTAAAGTCAACTGGTTCCTTACTTTTTTTTTAAAAACTTGTGTCCAGTGATCTAACTAAATTAATATTTGAAAAAAACATAGACTTTTGCTTTTATTTCTGAAATGAAAACATGATTCCATATGGCCAACATGCTGTTCTATGTATATTATTACGCATCGCTAGCGAAAAGCTTAATAATAAAACATATAAAAAAAAAAAATGTTGTAAAAATAATGTTGAATATGCAAATCAGCAAAAATCGTGCGCTTGCAATACAATCACGTATTAATTGCAGCTTTTAGCTTTAATGTGGAAATATTGTGGCATACTTTAAAAGCGAAGTCAAATAATCAGCACAGCATAAGGCCAACTGTCGAGTACGGCAATTACTAATGCAATTAATGTAAATGAGCTATTCGCTTGGGAACTATTTCTTCGTACACATCACATAGTATAAACTAATCAAGCTTACCTTGATTGACTATGGGTATATCTGCGGGAAATAGGGAAAGTTCTTCGCACTTTAACACCTTACTGTTGGCTTCTCTCTGCTGTATCAGATAAGTCGTTCAATCTTTAATAATGCCGTCTCACAACATTTTTCAATTATAAATTATTTTTGTCGCAATTAAACTCAATAAAACGCCCGATCGTTGACTCTTTGGCTTTTCGTTTTGATATATCTCGTTTTCGTTATATGCTTGAATTTTACTCTATGCAAAAATATATTTACATATCTATATGTATGAGTGTATATAGGTTTCTCTACTGTTTGTTTATGCTGTATTCGTGCCTCGTTGTCTTGTTTGATTTGTTTTGCGCTCACTTGTTCGGACGTTCGTGTGCTGGCGGTCGGATATATTACTAAAGACTGAAAAGATCTCCCTCGCGTAAGAACTTATAATTACACTCGTAGCCCAGATGCCATTCGATCGTGAGAGCCGAGAGAGAGAGAGGGAGAGAGAGGGAGAGAGAGAAAGAGAGAGAAAGAGAGCAAATTGTTCCCAAGAGACTAGCACGATATGCTATGGCGTTTTTTATGGTTATAATCCTCCTTAATCATACTAAGAAAAGTTTTTTTTTAACGCTTTGAGAAAATTCCCTTGAGCTTTCGTTTCGATTACTTAATCAAACTTCAGGCTTATCGATCACATCGTATAGATCGTCACTATTAAAACAATTATACATTTGACATGATACATGACACAAGAGAGCCCAACAATGTATGATTGTATGACTAATACATGTTGTCTTGCAACGTGATGCACGTGACGAGGTAAAATATTAAATACATGTATATAAATCATTAGTTTTTGGAAGCTTTGTACAAACTAAGTTTAACATAAAAAGGCTATGTTATTAGCTCTATATAACACTTATTCAGTCCCATCTGGAACCTATTGCAACGCCTTCGTCATCTAATTTACCCTGAAACTAACGTGCAACGTTTTTCAACTCCGACTTATTAAAGCCATAAAATATGTCACGTTTCGCGTGCATATGAATAAATTCGAATTTCCGATGTGGCTATTAATGCTAATTGCCCCTTACCAATTTTTATGATTTACAATCATATCTAAACTTATTTATTCAACATCATTTACTTGAGATAACGAATTTTCGTAGCACAGAAAAATGACTCTTGCATAAGATATTACTCTATTCTTTTTTGAAATTTTTATAAAAATTCATATGCTCTTATGCTCATATGCTCAAAAGGCTAGTAACCAGACTAACTAAATCGATACTAAACATAATAAATATATAGCTCCCTTAAAAAACGCATAATATGTATTTACATTGCACTCCAAAAATAAGGCAAAATTTAATAAGAAGATTTGGAGAAATTTACATTTGTTAATCAGAACTCAATTATATTTAAAATACCATACCATACCATGGCCCAATAAAAATAAACGGGATGTTTAATGCGTATACCATATTTAAACAAAAAACTTTATAAACCTAACAAAGTGCACGCTAGCAATGTTTTAAAAAGTGGCAGCTTTGGTGAAGTGCGTAGGGAGTCAAGTCTCACGCGTTGTTTTATAGTCTTGTGGGCGCAGGTTCGAAACCGCTCAAATGAATTTTGGTAGATGCTTGGAAAAAATTAAATTTGTTTATTTTTAATAATACAATGCGACTCATCATGGCATAATAGTTCGACTCTTTCATAGACGAATAATTTCCGCATGGATCGCAGAGTAAAAAATAGGGGTTAATGTGCGTATCTACTGACATTTCCAAGGTGAATGACAGTGTTTCGTGCAATTTCCGTACAATTATATTTTGACTTATGCTTTTGATAATAATAAAATACTTTCCTCTCATTATAGCAACCACAAATTTTGTTGGAAAGTTCACGCAGAGCGTGCGTCGCATCGTGCAAGATGTCAAAGATGAGGGTGCACCCAGCGGCATGACCCGTGATGAGGTTATCGAAACCAACGAACGCCTACGCTCACTACGCCTGCGCCTCGAGGAGTCGTACGACACGGTAAAGAAAGCACTGATCAACCTCATGAACAAGTACGGCGATTCGAAGAGTCATCGCAACATATTTCAGCGCTACCCCATGCTCAAGCTAATGATAAAGGTTCGTAATTTACTTTGGTTGTCCCATAAAGTATTAATGTTATATACATATATATATTTTTTTTTAATAGGAAGTAATACGCCTGGAGACCCAGTACTGGACGTTGGTAGACATTCCGCGACAGGAGAAGCAGGAAACGGTACCCTCATACGTAATGCGAGCCTGTTCAATTATGGAAAAGACCCAGAAGTCCGGCGAGGGCGTAAAGACATCGGCCCGGCTGGCCGAGGAGGCCGCCGAGCGCCGGGAGCGCATGGAGCGTTTAGAACGTAAGTCGATTACAGATGCTAGCCAGAGGAATCCTGATTAACTGCATCTTCAACAGACATGACAACGGCGCAAATTGAGCTCGAAAATACACAGCTGATTAATGACTTGTATCGTCTGCTGAAAAAGTATCTGGGCCTGCGGCATTTGATACGCGTGCTAAAGGTAAGAAAGAGTTGACATAAATTGACCCCATTGTGAATTGTTTTCCTGTGTCTCTCTCTTTATATGCGTCCGTATCCTTGCAGGAAGAGTACGGCAGCTCAAAGATGTATCCGATATTTCCACGATACACAATGCTCAAGGACATGATAAAGGGCATAATGCACGACCCGGACTACATGGAGGTATGTCACGAAACGCTGGCCAACTCCAACTGAGCCGAGGCATCCGGAAATGGCAGGCGTCGCATGAGTGTCATTTGAGAGGACCACCCATAGGCAAAAACACACACAAACAAATGCATCAACAGGATGTAAGTTGTGTGTGTGTGTGTGCCAATTTCACATGCGTCTTTCTGTCATTCCGTAAATGTTTAACAATTTTAAAAGCCTTTCCTGCTAGTTCCGGACGAGCGATGTTGACTTTTGAATAGTTAGATACAAATTTATAGATAAAATTTAGCCAAATAGTAGGCAAAACAAACTACAAACTACACCACAAGCCCCACCATAAATGTAACCTACTAACAAATACAACTAACTACGACTACAACTTACTACAACCACATGCTATTTACAGACAGTTGAGTACGGATATACTTTGGTAGTTGGGATAAGAAACCATCCAACCAACAAAAGAAACGCATTTATTTTAATGACTTTTTGAGATGAATATAAAAAACACATAATAAACTGAACACACGCGGATAATGTTAAATTCAAATATTGTATGATTTGCATAAACTAATCAAAGTTAACTTCATATACATGGTATTAAAAACTATCAACTCACTTATAATGAGTGCATTAAATATTAAACTCATAAATATTCCTTTGGCCCTAACCTTTTTCTATTTTATAATTGATCTGGAGAAGTAAACACAACTAAAACAACAATTTTATGCATATGGTATATACATACTTAAAATATTACTTGTATAGTTAGACAATATAAGGGAAATGTTCCCAGAATTAAAATTCTTTACACTTTTTGAAGGAAACACCAAATTTATGCGAAAAAAGCTATTATATATTCAAGTAAAATAACTCAGGATCATTTGTTATGGTTCCTTGGCTCTCCCAACAATATGCAGCAGCCTATTTTACAAATATACAAGCGCTTTAAATGTGTAACTATATATATTTATCTAAAAAAAAGCTTTAAGTCCTTTGCAATATGTTATTAAAAATACCACGAAACAAAAAGAGTTATGTCAAAAATACAAATATTAATAAATTGTTGCCGTTTGTATGTGCATGTTTTAGCTTTAGCCAAACCCACAAAAAAAAAGAGGACACAATGCAAATACTTTTATACGAGACCAATGACAAACTCTACGAGCTTACAACATTAAATGGCAGAATTAAAAAGAAAAATATTTATTTGTAACTAATTTATTTTTACTCTAAAATACTTTTCAATCCAACACTCAATAACTTATTGCATAAATTAACACCTGATATCGAACTTTGAGACTTGGTGAAAGTAAGCTATCTTATCAATTAAATTTATTATTTACTTCATTTAGAGCTTGCAATTGTTTTACATATAAATTAACTAAAACGTTGATACACCCACCGAAGTCACGCCAACTGTGCGCCCAAAAACACTTACCGACATAAAAGACAATTCGATACCTAATTGTACACAATCACTCGAACAAAAACCACATCAATGTCAACTTAAGATATCTACACATTAAACGCAAACCATTATAATTAAAAACAAGTACTATATCAATACGAAGCATATGTCTGAACAAGTCAGGCACATATATACGATGGATCAAACAGTTCGTAAAGAGAAGACATTTGATGTTCATTACAGTACATGTTGAATTCTTGAAAGCTATTCAACAATTCGAATTATTATTTTTTTCATTCCAACAAAAATTAATACAATTCTTTTCAAATTATAAATATTGGCACAACTGTGCATAATATAATTGAAGTATTATTTTGAAAGCTTGTAAATCAGGAAAGTTGAACAAGTCGACGATGATGCAGTTCACGTAAGACATATTAAAATAGTGTGGCATTAATTCGACAAATGCTTAAAATATGTACTACAATAAATATTGTACAACATAACTACTAAGTGTTTCTGTCGCTTTTATATTTTGTTGATACGCCACGTTTGAGTAGTTAATTTCTGGCAACTAAATTAAATATTTTGAAATATATCATTATATGGACATATATCAAATATATAAAGTAACGTACCTAAATTAATCAAAATGTATGAAGAATACTAGCAATATCTTGACGCCTCATTAGTCCTTTGTTGTGTGTGCGTGTGTGTGTTTGTGTGTGTGTCTGTTTAGCTGAAGTATGTTATCAAATAAATACATAGTAGCTAGTTAATACTAACTTCAATGGATATTTAAAGCTGTATTATACAATCTATACATATTTACATACACATCAAAAGCTTACATACCCACTAAATGGGGTATATACCTACATAATTTATACGAAAACTTCGTACAATTTTACCTTTCAATATCTAAGTGTCTACCAGAAACGGAAAGTGGTTATACAAAGTAAAATACAAACATAACAAAATAAACAATTAAAGATATTATGTGTGTATGTTATTACATATGGCATTATAATCGAATATGCAAAATTATAAAAACCTATTAAATATATTGGTATTTAAAAATTTATTAAATGTTTTGACTTTTCGACTTGTTTCTGCATTTCAGTTTAAACTGGTTAAATTTGTTTAAATACGTTTTGCCCGGCTCATGACACTTTCTACAAGATTAATTATGCCATCTATGTGTGAAGATATGCACAGAAATAAAGCTCTCAGATAAAAAGCTCTGCATTTGACTCGGTCTCGGCGCAAAAACACTATTAAGCTCTCTGTAAAAGCTTAATGTAAAGCTCTTCAACAATTTTATTAGCTATGAAAACCAACTTTCATGGGAGTACTAAAATTAAATGTTGTCTAATTTTTTGCAGCATTTCCGCGCCTTTCCCTGACTGCCTCCACATCAGCATCAGATGGTTCCTCAGGTAAAGTGTCCACAGATAGAGACGATCCCTTTGACTTGGAGCTGCCACTCGAGTGTGAGCTGCCCGAGCCCTTGGGATACTTAACCGCCTTAGTGTTTCCCGAACATTGTATAATAAAGCGCAATTCATCCAGAAGTTCGTCCTTGAAGTTGACCTAGGAATGTACGAAGCTCCTTTAATATTTAGGTCAACTTTGGCAAAGGTGGGCATGCATTGATTATGGTAAGCTGCCATGCAAAGCATATCGCATAACTAGTCAAAGATATGATTGTTATTTAAAGTTCGAGTTTCTGTTAAAAAAAAATATGAAAATTAGTTTTAGTTAGGTCACCAAGTTGATGATATCGAATGCTACCCCATAAATCGATGTACAAGCTGTTGAAAAATATTCGTTATTTAAGTCACAATTGACCTTTATGCCCATGCCCATTTTTAGTCACGACACAAAAGCGTTTCTTCCAACGCGTCGGAGGAGCTGGATAGCTGTTAATATATATATATATATATATGTATTTTTAGAGCGTCCACCTCTCCTGCTCGTTACCTTGTTCTCTCGCGCGGTCCAGTAGATGCTGAGCAAGCAGTTAATCAGGCCATAAATACTGGCAAAGCAGCTGCCCACGAACATGACCAGATACACGCCACCCAAATTCGCAAAGCCCAACGAGGAGGCATCCGAATCCGCAACCTCCTGTACTCAATGTCAACAGCGATGGCGGAAATTGTGATGAACATAACGAGGTGTTGCCATTGTGTGTGTGTGTGTATGTGTATGTGTGTGGGTGCGTGTGTGTATGTGTGTGTGTTTGGGATACAGGCCAAGTACATAATAAAGCGAAATGGTCGCCAAAGCGAACGCGTTCCAGATAACCGAAAAGCATTGGCAGTACCTTGTTTTCATTGCTGCGCTCCTTGACGCCCAGCAGCATCTCCAGGAGGGACACAAATACGCCGAAGGCGGCGCCCACACCCAGCACCAAGTAAACGCCGCCCAGATTGCTTATCTCAAGGGCCACTGCGCCAGCCTCTCCGCCTGCATCCTGCGCGCACACACACACACACAGACACATTCATACCCGAGGGCATAGGCAAACTCCTTTCGGATATGCGAACACTTACCGAGCAGGCGCCACCGCCACGCTTCTCCTTCCACCACTTGGTCTTCATTTTGGTTAGCACACCCTGCTCCTGCAGCTCTAGTATCGCCTGGCTCAAGACGTCGCGGTAAGGCCAATCTGGAAAGCGGGCCATGAATACAAAGCAATAGATTGGAGCTGGGAGCTACCTACTCTTTCGCATGGCAATCCCGTAGCCCTTCTCATCTAGGAGTGCCCCGACCTGGGTCAGTGTGCAACGCCGTTCTGTGATGTACTCAATTGTTGTGGACTCCATGAGGAATGCATAATTGCTATTCTCGACGCGATCGACGCCTTCTTGATTTGAATTCGTCATATATTGGGGGTTGTCTTTCATGAACTCGTACATTTTCTGGTACGTGGGAAATTTTGCGTCCTTAACAAATACAAAAACATAAGGTGGCTTGCATGTTGAAAGTATCGACATTTGCTTACTTTAAAGAAGGTAAAGGTGCTGCCACCATTTTTCGCACCATAATTGACACCGCCTTTATTCTCCGACAAGTCTTCGGCATCCTCTATTGGCGTCACGAGCGATTCGACAGTGAGAAAGGCGGCAAGGTTCGCCGTATAGGAGGAAACTAAAATCAGCGTAAAGAACCACCAAGAAGATGCTACGGCACGCGTAGAGAACGCTCTGCAAGCAAAAGAACATAGTTTGGAAAAGCCCATTTAAATTAAGGAACTAAGGCACAAACTTGGGAGCCAGCTCGGATCCTTGCTGCAGCAGAGCACCAATTGAGAACCATAAGCAATTGGCAAAGCTAAATTGATTCTCCAGCTCGGTGGGCTCCTCTATACAAGGATATGGATTGTCCCATTCGGCTGGCGACATGCGGCCCAGAACAAACATGCTGATGGATACGCCCAAGTAAGCGAGACCCAGCCAAAGCCAAACCTCGCCGGAAAAGGGCGACATAAACGAGAACAGCTTGGGGGGCTCCTTCATCGGCTTGCGAAATAAAATTGCAATGCCTGTCGCGATACAAAGACTATAGAAAATGACAAGTCACAAGTCGACACGGTCAGCAAATACTTGCCCAGATTCATGAAGGGAATCGTGAAGTCCACACCGCTCTCCCGCTCCGATGTCATGGTCAAATCAGTTATGCCCATGTCAGCGCGCTAATTAATTACGTTATCAAAAATGTATTATCCATTACAAATTCTCACAATTTTTCGCTCAGTATATTGAAATGCAAATTGAAATGAATGTGCAAATATTACATATTCGTAGCGTGCGCAACTATATTAATTATTAATTGTATTATTTACCTGTGTATTATTTACCTGTCCGTAGTTCGCGATGTATACACAAAACATGCAAATTTGGGTCTGATATACAAAAAAAAAATTATTCTTTGACTTAATTAAAAAAATTTTGAATTTATGTGTACTCAATCAGCAACAATTTTAACGTTTTTTCCAATTCAGCCAACTATTTGGTATTTGATTAATAAATTTGGACATGTTCTTGAACTTGCGCACACTCACAAACATACACACACTCACATACATGTACACACACATTGATTTAATTCACGGGCTCTGTGTTCTACTAATTTAACCATCATAATTTATGGCAATAGAAATTGGATTAATAACGAACAATCTATTGATAAGATATATTGTTGTTTGAAGGCAGGGGGGCAATTATGTTAATAACGTTGTTCGTGATTCCCGATATCTGGGCTCAAGGGAAAGGTAAGCTCATTGATATAGATGACCGCAGGGCGATTTCAATTGGATTTATGGGCATTCCCCAGACAGGAACTTACGTTGTCTATTATTTCGCGTAGCATGCCATTCCATTCGCCAGTTTTGGGATCTATGCCACCATATTTATTGTCCGGCTGCAAATAAAAGGTGTAGCTGAAGCCAAGCTTCTTCGAGAGCTCATCAATCAATTCAATGCCAAATCCTTCGAACTGAGCGTTGCCCTCCAGCTTTTCGGCGGTTTCCTTCAGCATGCCATAGGGTTCACTCTGCAGAGCAAGAAATTATTATTGCCATATTCTGATATTGCAAAAAATTGCTACCCACAATGGCCGTGACTACCACAAAGCTCTTATTCATCAGCGAGCGCATATCTGGCTCGAGGGTATGTGCTGGTGCGGGACGATTCATTTCAAAGCCGGCCTCAGTGCTCCACTGCCCAATTTGCTGCATGCCCGAGACGCCCAGCTCGATGACCTCCAACTGGAAATCCGTGCGCAGTCCCTCGTAGTCAAAGTGAATGGGGCCCGTGAGGCCGTTGAGCGACAACTGCGGCGGCACATATACATATGTTTATGTTTTATGAAGCGTTCTCTGCCATGTTTCCCGCCATGTTTCACTCACCGACTTCATATAGTTGACGAGCGTGTAGCCCTTGTCCCAGGCACTGTCGTCCCCACAGCTCAGGGGCATGGGTCGGTAGTTAACATGTTTGTATGTCTCGGCCAGCAACTGAATGCCGTCGTAGATGAGGGCCATGCTGTTGGTCAGAGGACACGATACTGCAAGAGGAAAATGGCCATAAAGGATAACGTTCATAAATGGTTCAATGGTCATTTGCATTTATCATTTTTACAGGAAATTCAATTATTTATATGCGCTCATATGAATGGATTCTGGGAAGCCATGGAGTGTCAGCTACACTCTGCAGGAAATAAAATTTTATTTAAATAAGGATTACGCAGATTTACCATTTTGAAATGGCTCTTCACTCTCGTACAATGCCTTAGCCACCTCCAGTACCTGCCCGTTCTCTGGTGAAACGAAGCGCAACCCGGTAATGTTGGAATCGGCATGCTGATAGGGCTCCAGATCCATGGTGTGCCAATCAAGATTCCCAATGATATAGCGATAGTCGCTGGTAAGCAGGCCTGTTTGCTGCGCCTGCTTAAAGAACTCAGGTAGCGTTTCTATCGATCCAACCACCACAAATGAATCGTCCTCGGAGTTGCGTATGCGCCGCAGCACATTGCGATAGTTGCCATTGAGATCTAGATCATAGCGACGAAGTGTTATGGTAGGACCAGCTGTGCCATACATCTGCAACAGCTCATTGACTGTGACCAGATACTCTCCCGACTCGTAGATGATGGTGAAGCTCTCCCATCCTAGGGCAGTAACCAAATCTTTGAGCGCAGCCCCCAATTGCGCTGGATGCGGATGCAGGTTGATGGTGGGCAACTGGGCACCAAAGTCCCAGCGTGTGTCCAGAAAAGGTAGCTCCTTGGCATCGCAAATGCTCAGTGCGTGACGAGCCGCTCGATTTGTCGTGGGTCCAAAGACTGCCACCAAATTTTGCTAAAAAACGTGTAAATCATAACTTTGTATTGCAATATGATGACATAGATTCTCGCCTACCCTTAGCATTTTGCATAATTTCTTGGAGGTCTCAAAAGCATTGCTCGGCTCAATGGCCACGGCCACGCCATGGAGCTTAAGTTCTTCATTCTCCTCATTCGCCTTGCCAATGGCCAAGTGGAAAATTTTCTCAAGATCGGGGTTAGTGTTTTCATAAATAAGACCTATTGTAAACAAAATCGAAAGAAGAGAGAAGATCGAAAATCTATTCATAGTATTTGAACTTTGTTTTTATTTTGCTTTGCAAATTCTGTTTACGAATTCTACAGGGCCAAAACAAATGCGCCCAATTCGCCGCAGTGCCATATGTTTTTTTCATTGCTGCATAAAAATACACTTACACACACACACACATGGACCAATACACACACACACACACACACATACACACGGAAAACGCCAGCCGTAGTTGCACGCTGCTGTATACATTTTTGATTACATAACCATTTTAAGCGAAAAACAATAAAAACCGCTAGTTTTTTAGCACCCAACTCACCCACATTGGTACGCTCGGCTCGACAGATGTCCAACAGACTTGTGAAGGCGCACAGAGAAATCAGCCAAATGACCCAGTGGACCGTCGCGGGGCGGGGCTGACCCCCAGTGAATAGATGTGTCATCTGATCTGATCGCTGATTGCTGTTGCAGAAAATGCAATTATTAATCAATTCATTAATTGCTCCTTAATAGACTCGTTAAATTTTACTATTGTACATACAGTTTTTCTTGCGAGTAATTTTTATTGCATGGCTAATTTTAGTTTTAATAGTTTTGCATTTGCTTTTCGACTGTCTGCAGCGACTGTGAAAACGCGCGGCGAATATCGCAAAATTGAGGCAAATTACACTTGCAGCAGCATACGAATTCGCCGCAGAGTCTTTTTAAAGATAGTTGATATTCTTTCTGCATTGTCAAGGATTAAAATGAGAGCAAGCTTAATTAAGTTCTATCAATTCATCAAATAGAACTCGCTTCAATTCTAATATTTCATTTTAATTAAATTTTAAAAGACCAAATTCTTTAGTAAACATAAACAAACTTTGAGTCAATAAGCTGAAACAAGTTACTGAATAAAGCAGAAGTTTATAACCAGCTTTAACTCATACTAATGAACAACATTAACATTATAAAGTTTTCCAAACAATTTATACGCAGTGTTGCCAAATATTTTTGCAACTACAGACATATAAATTTTTTTGTAGCCTGGGGCACAATAGTTGGCATTAACTTTGTCGGCTTTGAATAATCCACTTAAATTGTATAAAGCAAGAGTCTCTTATTTTTTATAACGAATGCTTCTATTTATAGCTGCTTGAAGCACAAGGCATGCTACATAACGTGCATACGTATATATATGAGTACTTTCGGGAATGTCCTTCGTGCACAATGCCTTTGCAACATGCAACATCATTTACGAAAAGGGAGAAGGGGGGTAAAACTGTTGCTGCAGGCAGTAAATAAAATCAGCTCTACGATAACGCATGCAGACAAACTGTCTGTCCCGTTCCATTTTTTGCGCTCTCTGTCTCTCTCTCTCTCTCTCTCTCTCTCTCTCCCTCTCTCTCTCCCTCTCTCTCTCTTTTTTCATATAAATACTGAAATATCCGCCCGCGTCTCCGTGTCCGTCTCTGTCTCACCATGTTTTTGTTTGTTGCTGTTCGCTGCATACTTATGCATTTTTTATTTACATGCCCAGGCACTGCCATTAAATCTATTGCCATGTACGTCCTTCCCCGCGGCGCCTTAACGCCGAGGATTGCATGGTGTTAAATTGCCCAGCAGCCCGGCGCACATTTGCATTCCTCGCGTGCGCAGCGGCGCGTGCAGGCTTTCAGAATACGAGTATCTTGAGGATGCACAGACAAGAAGCCCCACACAAGCATGCCTCATCTCGTTGTCACACATTAGAAAATTTCTTGACGTGTATCCTTAAGTCGACTGTGCTCTAACTTCTGGCATTTATCCATGCCACACAATGGACAGTCATCAGTAGCTACATCGAACACGGTGTAAATCAATAGTCGATGTGTTTGCGACTCGGCTAATCGGTGGCTCCTGCTATTCCATCAATTGCTTCCCACCACAATTGCAATTTCCCTCACATTAGTTGTGTCAATATTTAAGGGCTGTCAGTTTCGTGTATATAAGAATGGAAACTTGTATGTATGTGTGAGTGTATGTGATTTTGTGTATTTGTTTGCCTTGAAATTCCGTTATTTGGCATTGGGCAATCTCGCTGCACAAAAACAAATTCACATTTGCACCAAAGTTTTGATTGACAGTGTAAGCCTTGAGATACGAAATGCTATTTTGGACATCGATTTATTGCCAATCAGGTATGAAATATGTATTCAATATTTGTGCAACGGTGCGAATGAGTAACAGAATAGAGAAATGTTCACACTCTGACTGCATTTAGAATAAAGCAGCAATAATGTGGATACTGACATATCTTTGCCAAACGACCTATTATCATTGTAATTGACAGGATGTCAGTTTGTAACTTGTACATAATCTGTTTGAATTATTATAAAATATTGTTTGAAAATAATTTAAATCTACGAGCGCTTGTTTTTGCGAGTTTCTCTAAGTAATTGTGATGAGCCTGCCTTACACGTTATAGTCTAAAGATTGCTCAAAGGTAAACAAACAAATCAGAAGCAGCACGTGAGCTACTTTTTGCTACTCTGAAGCGACAATTTGGCGTGTTGTCAAAACAAAATGCGATATGCTCACAGACAAATACACGCACACGTACACACACACACACGCACACACTCATACGTGTGTAAACAAAATCAATTTCCAGGCAGCCAAAAAGCATCAAGGCGAGACGATTGCGCAACACTGTCGCTGGGAAGGGAGGGAGGGAGGGTGAGCCGCAGACCGCAGGTATAAGAGCATAAGAGCTGTGCACTCACACTGGCCACAAAAGTACTTATGTTCTCTTCTGGCCTCTGCTCCTAGCCTCTCATGCTCTCTCTCTCTCTCTCGCTCTTGCTCTGGTGTATTCTCTCTCCCTCCTTTACATGCACAGAGCACGTGCCGCGTAATGGCGCGTAAATTGTTGCTGCCATCTTAATGTGTGTTCCTAAAAACCGCAAATTCTACGGCGCAATGACTCAAGAGGAAGAGAAGCTGACCGAGCCTAACGGGCGACCGATAAGCGACTACGAGCTAGGGAAAACACGTTGAAGGACATCAACCAGCACTCAAAAGAAGCAGGTGGTAGGAAACGGAAATGAACTGAATCAGCAAGGACGAAAGTAGGAGGAACAAAAAGGAGTTTGGGTTTGCTGAAAAACATACTCAAACAGTCGCCGCAGCTGGGACTTTATTCAGTGGCCAAAATGTTGTCTCAAGTGAAAGTTTTCACTTCAATTAAGCATGGGTGTGTGCGCATGTGTGTGCATGTGCGTCAAGTTTAAAGCACAAGCGAAGTTTTTGCGTCAACGCATTGTTATTTTTGGGGGATTTTGCTCTGGCTGCTTTTTATGCTGGCCATCTGCGGCTAATATTGAGAACCGATGCCCAATGAGCTGGTCGAGTCGCCAAGGCAATGTTCAGTGTCTGTCAACAGGCATATGAATTGTTAACCTGCCGCAGGTAAGCGTGAACAGGCAGGCAGACAAATCTGCCAACATGCTGTCCGTTTGGCAAGCAGCCAACGGGGCCAGTTCCAGCCTCAAGCCCAAAGTGGGGTAAGTGGGGGAGCCCAACCAGTTGCGTTTAGTCGTGCGAGGCACGTTTGCTGTGGCCTGATGGCCAAATGGGCAAATAGGTAAATGGGTAAATGTCAGTGCCAAGGTGTCAAATTGTCAACGCCTGTTGCCCCAAAAATGGACAGCCGAGGTTTGAAGGCGTGTGTGCATGCCTATTAGGAAATGGGCCGAACGAGTATTCTCTAGTTGCCTGCCATCTGCATAGTTCGATGCGTGTGAGTGCGTATGCGTGTTGGTTGCATGCAACACTTGATGCCAATAACTAACAGAACAACACCTGCTCGGTCCGTCGAGCACTCATCAATCGCACCTATGCATATCGTTCTCTCAAGGCTAGATGCCCAAAATATAGCTGAACATTGGAGAATTTAACCACTTGTTAAACAAAATATTATTCAAAAACAAAACAAATGCAACGTGTGCGCGACCCAATCGCGTCTCTCGCTCAATCTCTCCATCTCTCCGCCTCCGAAGCTGCGCTGTCTCTCTCGAAAGTTTCTACAATGCATACACACATATTTTTACACCACACCAACGAGAAGCAGTTCCCCACTGGCAGACAGGAGACCAGTTCGACACGAGAGCTCAGCGAGTGCGGACGCGCGAAACGGACGAAACGGTCGATCGGAATCGAAGCTAGATAACGGCGCGTGCCAAAGCCATAAACCATACAACAACAACAAGAACTACAGCAACAAGCCAATCTGTGCGAACAGAAAATCCTGTTAGTGTAGACATCGCAAGAGGTCTTTTAACTGCGAATCACATTTCCCATATGTGTTAGAAAAGTGAGAAACTGAACTAACGGTAAATACAGGAATTATTAAAGTTTAAGCTAGAGTAGTCGATATGCCTGAAATTGTGGAGTTGAACGTTGGCGGTGTCCACTACACGACGACGCTGAAGACCCTGCTGCAGGAGAAGGCGACGCTGCTGTACGAGCTGTTTGCAGGGCCGGAGGGTCGCGAGTCGCTGGCCAAGGACAGCAAGGGCCGTTATTTCCTGGACCGTGATGGTGTCCTTTTCCGCTATATATTGGACTTTCTGCGCGACAAGGCGCTCAATTTGCCCGAGGGCTTCCGTGAACGCCAGCGCCTGCAGCGCGAGGCCGAGCACTTCAAGTTGGCCGCCATGCTGGAGTGCATACGTGGCGACCGGGATGCCCGGCCACCTGGCTGTATCACGATTGGATACCGCGGCAGTTTCCAGTTCGGCAAGGATGGCCTGGCCGATGTCAAGTTCCGGAAGCTGTCACGCATCCTGGTTTGTGGCCGTGTCGCACAGTGTCGCGAGGTATTCGGCGACACGCTGAATGAATCACGAGATCCGGATCACGGTGGTCCGGATCGCTACACGTCTCGTTTCTTCCTCAAGCACTGCTTCATCGAGCAGGCTTTCGACAATCTACACGATCACGGATATCGCATGGCTGGCAGCTGTGGCTCCGGCACCGCAGGCTCGGCGGCAGAGCCCAAGCCAGGCGTGGACACGGAGGAGAATCGCTGGAATCACTACAATGAATTTGTTTTCATTCGGGACTAAGCAGCTGCGGGAGTGCATTTCTGCTCTCTTCCGAACTTCTTAAGTTTGTGATACCGTTAACCATAATTTAAACACGCCTCTTCTCTGGTCTATATACCCGGAAATAGGCCAAATCTTTGTATTGTCGAGAGTTTTCTTAATTTTTTATCAAAAATATTTATTTTGAATGGGAGCAAGGCAGGCAAATATTTGAAAAAGAGAGAGAAAAAATCAAGCATTTGTCACCAAATTAACTTATTGGCCTAATCTGAATAGAATTATCATCAAATTGAAATTCGTTTAGAGTATAGCGGAACTAAGAAGAATCTATCCTTATCTTAAATGATTTGAGCCCACCTTTATATTCCGATGGGAACATTTTAAGCGTACAATTTGTGTAACAATCCCCATAGGCAAATACCCAAGCGGTTTACCTGAAAGTAAACAGTTTATTTACCAATTGCTAGTTCCGATTGATTAAAGCCAAAGACAAGCATAAAATTGAATATTAATAGTTTTGAATCCTAGTGAATTTTACGAATGAATAATTATATAAAGCAGCGGCTGATGAATAACTTACGGTTTGCCTTTGGCTAAAGAAGTATTTGATGCTATTCCGAGTGCATAAAGAGAATAAGTTATGATTTTTGAATTGTTAAATCAAGTACAGGAAATTAGAAATTATAAATTGGGAAACGCGAAATGCGAATGTTAATGAAATAAACCAGAGCAAAACGTAAACAAACGTGATTTGAAGAAATCTAGAAATAAATTTACAAACATGTTTTTACTTATATAAGTAGGGTCTCAGCTCTAGACAAACTGTAAGAATTTATCTCGGCTATCTTACCAAAAACAACTACAAGCAACTATTTAAATACGGGTCACTTCTTGAGTAAATAACATATAAAGGAAAGTCAGTAAATATGCAATCTTAGCCACAAACCCGCAAGTCATTGAGTAATAAATATATTTACTATTCAATATATATATTATAATAAATATATTTATTATTTATATACCTATTATAATAAACATATTTGTTATTTATTTATTTACCAAAATAAATATATTTATTATTTAATATATTTATTATAATAAATAAATTGATTATTTATTACTCAACGCCCGAAGGTGATTAGGAGAAACCTATGGTAAATTGTTCAAGGATAAATTATTAGAAAATAGTCAAATAGCATTTGAATTTCAATATTGTTGAAAGTACATAAAATATACAAGGAAACACTTACAACGCTTTATAAACGGACAGTTAAAGGATAAGCTCACAAATGCAGCCAATAATAATGTCAAATATACAATATGAGGTATATACATAATACTTTCCCCCACACATATTTATAACCAATATGAATTCCATATTTCTTGCCAAAACTGAAAGAAAACGAGGATAAGGAGCATAAAAAATTGTCAGCCAAATGCCATTAAGCATAAATATCTTGAAAAGTTTGAGTGATTACTTAAAAGTGAGAACGATGTTATATAAAGGATTTGCTTACACCACTCGAAATATCATAATTTTAATATTGTTATTAATTGAACTTTATCAAATGTGAATAGGTGGAATTTAACTTATCAAACTTAAGAAATCAAATCATTATTTTTCCCAGCTGTTTTCGGTGTTACCCAAGTATTCTTTAGCCCATGTCTTCGAAATATTTATATGGCAAAATATGGCAAATATTTATATATGCGAATTGAATATATATGTTAGATATTGCCTAAAATTGCCCAAAGAACTTCCATTAAAGTTACACGAAGATACTAAAAATTTGCTGAACTAAGTAAGCTCATAAGTAAAGTGTCGAAACTAGAAGAGTTTAAGTTTATGTTTCGATCGTCCTTAAATAATCTCTAGAACAATCAATATAAAAATTAAAAATATTTAACCCTCTGCTGAAATTGTTATCTCAACGGCAAACGCGGAATTGTGATGCGTTGAAATTTCTGTTTATGGTTTTTTATTAGCACAAATAAATGTTTACATATGTGTGTATAAACATTTGCATGTCATACTACATATATGAACTTGGGCTAAAATGCACACGAAATGATAATTGTATAAAATGAAATAGTTCACATAAAATCGTATTAAAGTCAGATATGTGTATGTATAATGTACATTATAGCAAAATGTTTGGGATTATACTTAAATCAACTTTTAAGCCCCACTATAGTTATGTTGAGGAAACCTAGCGCGTATTCGTATACATATATTTAAATCAATTGTCGATATTGAATTATCTATATATGTTTAGTATTAAGTTCAGTGAGCATATTACAAGAACAAAACAAAGAATAAACAAGTAAATAAATTATATATGTATTAATGAGCTATAAAACGAAATTAACTTTTATCTAACAAAAGTAAACGTATTATGATCACAAATAGGCGCAAACAGTCTATCAAAGTGCGACAAGCTAAATCTATGTAAAAAAAATATACTACAAATAAAATAACTATAAAATTAAACATTTTGTTATAAGATGTGCAAATGCAGAACATTTTCCGGTAAAATAGAATTTTGTGACTTTTGAGCAAACAAAAAAAAAACTTGAAACTGGGAGAGTGAAAGGGAACGACTCGCCTTGACCATCGATACAAATGTCAGCTTAATTGGGACTCTCTTCATACTCCATGATAAGCCATAATATAATATTTATAACATTTCATTTATTCATTTAATTGTTGCAGCAATATTCACAAAATTCGTCGACGTTGATTTTGCCAATAATATTCATGAATTGTTCATGAACACTATTTTGATGGAATATCTCAGTTAAAGAGGGGCGAATAATATCATTAATGCATTAGCAATACCAAAAAAAAAAAAAAACGAAAGATAATTATATAAAATACAAATTAATTCAAAAGATGCATAGAGCTAGTGCCTGCCACGTCGAAGGCAGGCAAATGCCTAGAAAAAAGTATGTTTAAATAACTGAAAAGGCAGGAGATCATAAAAGCGAACACAATCTGGCATTTGTTTAAATTCAAGGCAGACAACAATCATTTATTTACACACGGCAAGGAACAAAGGACTCACTGCGGGCCCTGGCCTGTGCACGTGCCGCTTCTGGCCCAGACTAGCTCAGTCGAGCACAAAAAATGTTGAAATTAAACGAGAAAAGGCAAATGCTGCCTCTGAATGTGCGAGTGCGTGTTGAAGTATGCTTCAGAGCCAAAGCCAAAGCAAATGGGCCAAGCGCAAAGGTATGGGAAAGTGCAATGCCGCCCCCTTTTAACATGTGGAAGCAAGGTAGACAGGCATCGAGGTGAGCGTGCCACCTGCATACTAAGCATCTACCTGAGGCGTCTCACGTACTTTTTTTCGGGTTGTGTTTATTGAGTATATACCCAGGTCTAAAACAATATGCAAATTGTGCAGATGGCGGCATAACAATATACGGAAAACAGTAAGGAAAACGCCTGAGATACGCATATAAATTACTGTCAGCTATGCCACGCCCATAAATTCTGACTGACAAGGCCAGCCAGTATCTATATGCCTGTCTGGGAGTATGAAAATGAAATGATGGCTTTTTGTCTTTAACGCTAAATTACCTTAATTTGATTTAGCCAGGTCTCAGTCGACGACACAGTCTTTCGTAGTTACATATTGTCTCTGCCTCTGCCTGTGACTTTGTCTGTCATTATTATCATCATCAACAAAGGAGCTTCACATTGCGTCAGTCGCACTGTCACCTTCAATTAGTTTCAGCCACAAGGCCCCCGACTTGGCTAATGCCTAGCACAAGGCTCCATCAGCTGCCTTATTAATTCATAAATACGAATTTTGCCTAGGTCGTGGCAAGACGCTTTAAATTTATGTCATTTCATTTAACGCCACAGGCAAAAATGGACGCATTTTGCACACTTCTCAGCCGCCACTTTAGCCCTTTTCAGAATATAAAGCATACTTTACAGGGCCGCAAATCCGCATTAATTAACGCAGAAAGCAGCTTGCGCTCGATGTCAAGTCAGGTAACTTTTAATATATATGAGCAAATATGCTGGCCGTGTGCAGGAAAGTACACTCTACTGATGTGATCAGCTTAATTTGGGTACTCACATCGACCCGCATTAATTGACATTAAAAACTTTTTAATTGAAAAGTCAAGCTTGACTTATGCTCTTTGGAAGGGCTAAACGGCGTAAAAATAACAGTTCAAGTGTTACTTAAAACAATAAAAAGCAACCTGAATTGACATCTGTTCTTCTGCTTTTCTTTATATATATAGTATCTATATGTATAAATGTTTTTTGCCTATTATCTGTTTCTGTTTGTGCCAGTAAGAAACAGTTGACCTTTGGCTGCAAGTCAAATGAAATTAATATTGTGATAATCTTAACCCTATAATTTTTTCCTTATAAGCATCTCAACTACCTCAGCTGGATAGTCAAAGGTGGCATTAATATTAAAGATAAAGCAGTTTTACTGATGTATTCGCATGCTTGAATATATTTTTACTTCCAGTTTAAGCGACGTGAAAAACATTTTCCTTAATTTCGCCCCTTACATTCGCAAATGAATGTCAATGCCTGTGCTAAGCACGCACTCACATACACACACACACACACAAACGCGCTAGATTGGGTCAGACATAGAATGTACTCGTTTTACGAGGCGAGCGCCCGCATTATTTGCCATATACAGTCCAAAACAACTGCGTATAACTCTTATTTGCCGTTAGTTTTAAAGGCCTAAACGTGCTTTATGTATATGTATGAATCGGAATATGTATGCGTTTGTGTTGGTCATAAAATAACAGTAGTAGAAAATAATTGCGCGTTAGAGCTATTTATGCGACCGACACAAGTGGATTTGACTGAGTCCGATATATATGTATGTTCTTATATACGTTTTTTTCCCTTTGAATCTTTAGCATAATCAGGTAATTATGAACAACTAACTATTTACTTTAGTTTTTCCATTATTATAAAATTTGTAGTAACAAAAAAATAAATAAAAAGAAATCTCTCAATCGATGCCTCCTGTGAGGGTTGAACTCACGGCCTTTGGTTTACGAGACCAACGCTCTACCACTGAGCTAAAGAGGCGCCGATGGGAGCGCGGCCAAATCAGCAATACAAAATGCCACTTAAAGAAGCTAGGTAATATGTGAATAAAACTGTCTTTTAAGCAGATTTATCTGAAGATCATGCCTCTTTTGCTTGTTGAGAATTGACATGCAAGAAAAATCGAGTGAAATGTGTTTGGAGAATTGAAATTGATAAGAATGCTAAGCCAACCATTATATATTTGTAATGAAAGT